CTGCTTGCTGCTTTAGGTACTTCCATGGTCATCTTCTCTAGATAACAAGTGGATCGTTTAAAAAAGAAAAACTTATGAAGATAATACTAGCCCTAGGAAAATAATTAAATAGAATCTAATTACAGTAGGACTGCTGGTTATTCTCAGTGATTTATACCTGTGATCCTCCTAATTTCTGCAAAGATGATTCCTAAAATTATTTCAGTATACTAGTTTTTAAGAGAGTTTGTAAGCTTTTTAAAATGCGATCCAAAGATCTTATTTAATCTTTTACTCCTAAATAAACATTTTAGAGCTTCAAATACTGAACACCAGGTGTTTGTATTGCCCATGTGAATGAAAACACTTTTGCTTTATTTGCTTATATTATGATATTGTTCAATCACTAGCACATCTTGTACAGTAACAAAGGAAAATACTGTCCTTGATAGTCTAAGAATACAGGCTGCAAACAGAACAGTGGAAGGCAATTCAGCGCTTAAGTCAGTACTGTGAGCAAAGATGAAAATGTTTTGTCAGTTCTGTTGTATTTCTTTTCTGAATCTGTTTCCAGCTAGCGATGTGTAAGTAACGTAGCTGCTGTGTTCGTTAGTCTTACAAGGACATTTACAAATAGGAAGAGTTCTGGTGCAGAGCAGCTCGGGAAGAGAGTCACAGCAAAAGTTCTTACAAGAGGAACACAGAGGTGATGTGCTGAGACACGGCTGTATATAGTTACATGGCACCTTATGGATGAAGGAGGCAGTGTGTGGCTGTTCCTTGCAGCATTCCCTGCCCAGTCATTCATTGCCTGTCTCTTCAAGAGATGGTTGAGGTGCTAGCTCTTATTTGAATGTAAGGATACTGACACCAATGAAGTGGCAACTGGCTTGCAGAAAGATACATCCAGGTATTGGGGGATAATAGCACATTTAAATGTGCAATTGCCAGATATGGACTGATATAATTAGAGCTTCCAGGATCGTTATGTAAATCAGTGCACCTATTGAGTTGGCAAACATCTCATGGAATCTAAACTTGCTAGAAGTAAGCATCACTGAGGTTTTCAGTAGCTTCATTTAAAAAAACGTATCTTTCTAATTGTCAGTCTTGTGACTGCAACTTTGCAAGATGAAATGTAAGATTCAAAGAGGAGGGAAGAAAAATATGTAACACTGTCTCTCCCTCCCACCCCCCCTGTATTTTGCAGAGCAAAAAATCCTGCTTTCATATTTGCCAAGGTGTGTGAACTTGCTAGTCTGTATTAGCAAAGTTGGTAATGAAAGGGAAGATTGTGTTTAATACTTCAGTTTAGTACACCAACATGGAAACAGAAGTTGGTTTGTTTGGAAGGTGCAGTTTTAGGGGAGCGTCATTTACATACTCAGTTCTTAAGTTCAAGCACAGATGGTGGGTATTTGTGTTGCAGTATTGTATTTGCTCTCTCTGGCAAGCCCCCTTTTCCTGAAAGCTCTGAGGTGTTAAAAGAACTGAATATAAGAAATTTTACGTAAAAGAAATTAAATATTTGAGCAGTTTTAATAAATATGTTAAGACCAGGCCCCTGAAGTCTGGAAGATCTGGTGTGATGGGGTGTGTTTTGGTTTGCTTTTTTTGTTTTTACCAATTGAGGGTTGAGATACGCTGCGTTGTGCTTTGAAAGAGCAAACTGCTGCATAACTGACATTTGAAGGCATTTGAAATGTGAGAATTGCCCTGGTTAACACGTCAGCAGGTTGAGCTTCACAGAGATAATATTGCATCGGCAGCGCTGTGCAGGGGACTGTATACATACATGTGTTCAAACTGTCTTTAAGCAAACAGTGAAGTAAATCATCTTTAAGCAAAAGATACTCAGTAAAGGCATAATGTATTTTCTGACATTTATTTGCAATGATCTGGAGTGGAGCTTTACCCCAAAAGATGAAGGCTGTAAACTTCCTCACTGTTGCATTGTAGAAGTATGATAGGTTTGAGGGAGCTTTGTGTCTCATGGATAGCATCTGAAGGGGGAGGGAGGAACAGTAGCATTTTCCCTAAATCATGTGCTAGGGAATAAAGAACAGCCTAGAGGGGGATTATGTCCTCAAATACAAGTCTGTTTGGAGAAGCTGCTTTGTGAAATCTCAATCATTCTTGGCAGCATGTCCTTTCGGAGAGATTTAAGGGGGAAGTATCTCTATGTTAATTTAAAATACTGTTTTGTTTAACATGTCTAGAACTATAGATCTCCCAATTCCCACATTAATAGTGCATATGCATTTTTTGGTAACACAGTTATTCTGACTTCTACTTTAAAACTTTATCTTTCAATCTAACAATTTTTGGAATTCTTTCAAGAGTTGTTTGTTGCGAGGGGGGTGTGGGGGGGAACAAGCTTTATGGTTCTTTAAGTCCATCAGAAATTTAGATCTTTTTGTCAAGTCGTGTGGTTTTTCCCTGGTCAGAGAATCTACCCATTTTTTGTGCATTTGAAAAATTAATTTATTTTAGTGTCTACATATTACAGTAATTTAACTACGTGATGTGCTAAACCTAGGCTTTCTTGCTTCTTTGGGCAGAAGATGACTTAGGGGGTGGGAGGCAGGTATTATTGTGTTGATTTTGTGGAGAGGACCATGTTTCTTTACATATTGCTTCAAATTTCCGTAGGCATTTCTTTGGGTAATGCTGATTTTCTTTCTTACGAGAAACAACAAACGCTTTTAGATACTCCTTTCCTTTAGTCCTAGCAAGTTTGACTAATTTACCACTGGGAAAACCTTTTGTACAGAATCTTTTTGTATTTATTCCTGCTCTCTTCTGTTGCAGTTTTTAGGCTATGTGTTAAAGTACCAGAAAGGTCAGTGAATGGCTTAACTGAACCCATGAACATGGCTTGGACTCTTAAGAAGTTTCCACTACAGCTTAGGTAACTGCCGCTTCTTTGGAGCGGCACTGTGCATTTTTCCCTGCCGCTGGGCATGCTGCTTCTCCTATGTCAGGCTTCATCATCTGGGTGGATCTGACCTGACCTCAAATCTTGCAAATGCATTTTCCTAAGGAAAACCAGGATCGTGACTAGTGATCTAGTAAATGCCTGGATTCCTTTAAAACACTTCAAAGAAGTTTTTATCTGAAAATTAGAAATAGAACTCAGATGGACTTTGGAAGTCTTCATACCTTGGTTATTGCCTGTATACATGAAGTCAGGTGGAGCTTGGAGTACCATTTTGGCTCTTATTTTTGTCTCATCTGCTAAAAACAAGGTGTTTTAAACCTGGAAGACAATCAAGAATTACAGATATGTTTGAAACATATTGATTACATTCTCACTTGCTGATCATTCAGGTTATTGCCTTTTGGGAAGGCTTACTAGAAATCCTAAGAAATTTCTGGTACTTTTAGAATCCTCCGATTCTCTCTTTTTTTTTTTTTTTTTTTTTTTGGCTGAGTTCTGTGCAGAATTTGATGCATTACATTATGTTCTGGTACATGACACGGTACAGTGCACTAATTCCTTATGATGGCTGACAGTGGACTTGGACTTTCTTCTCATTCCTTCAAACTTATTTTTCAAAAACTTTTGATCTTAGAAAATAAGATGGCACCCAAAGCTTCTGAAATTTGGATACAGAAAGAGGGAAATCCCTGAAATTGTAGCCAGCAATTAGACCTCAGGCTCTGTCTGGCGCTTGGGTCAAGGTGGGAGTTTGGATCTAGCATCAGCTTCCATATTGTGTTCTTAAGCCTGAAAGGGATGGATTGGCTAGAAACTGATTAACTCAGACTATCATGATTTTGTACGGACTGCTGAGTTTCTGGATCAGGTTGTTCAGCTGGACTAGGAGAGACTTCTTTGCTGGTGCAGGTCTGGGAGGCCTGGATCAAAATACTCTGCTGAGTATCCTGACCAGCAGCCTGTTTAACATTTTGTGTCTTACTGGCCTTCTATTCTTTGCATAGATAGAAAAAATTAAAGTTGGTTCTGACATAACAATATTATGTTTAGCCTGAGAAATTAATAAGCTCTGACCATGTAGCATTAATGTTACCGTGTGATATCATATATCGCTCTATGAACTCTTTCCAACAGGATTTCCAAACTATTTTTTCAAAAACATAACATTTTATCTAAGCTATCACATCTCTGTAAAACCTCAGCAGTTTTCAGATAAAGATGGCTAAATTTCTACTCAAGGTATAAAAAAGCCTATATGGTTATGTGTGTGTGTGTGTATATATGTATCAGTTAGAAATTAAATCTTTAAGCTTAGTAATTAAGTTTTCTAGTTTGTTGAAGTTCACTGGAAGTTAGAATGTAGTTCAGTTGCTTCCTTCAGGAGAAAAATGCCCAAGTCCTCCTTTCGTTCTGTTATTAAGAAATAAATTAAAATCCAAACCCAGGATTGTGTCCCTTACAGATGTTTCTGTGACCTTTTTTCCTGGGAGCAGGGACAGGTGTTTCTCAGGTATGCTTTTAGAAGGAGAGATGTGTGGTTACTATGGTCTAGCTCGTGAAGGGAGGTCAGGAGGTCCTGAAGTGGGCTAGGTGACCTGGTGGAGTAGAGAACGTTCGTTCCCGAATTCCCAGTAGAAGTAGCAGCATCATTCTGTATGCCTATGCATCAGACTCACCAACAACCAGGAAACTGGAGGTGTGGGGAATAAATGTAGCCTCTTTCTCTATTTTAATGGAGAATTTCAACGATAGTGGGAAAGTATGAGATTTTTATTGCTGAATGAAGGCAAGGAGTCTGTCTTTCTTGCCCAACGTTCTTTTATGTGCCTTTGGAAGTGCGAAAGAGGATGACCTAGTGTAAAAATATGAGTACACTGGAAGACTATTACAGGCACAGTGTTAAAAGAATTTCCTCAAAGGGTGGACTTCAGCTGGAGGTAGAGAGTCCCTTCTATTTTTGTCATCATGTTGTATTAATGAGCCTAGAATAAGTATCTTCCAATAGTTCTGTCTCTTTACTTGAAAATATTTAAGTCTTTCTGTAAATATATTATAAATTTATGTTGGTTTTTTGTTACAGGAGCTAGAGTTAATGCCAAAGACAGCAAATGGTTGACTCCTTTACACAGAGCTGTGGCATCTTGTAGTGAGGTATGCTTTTGGGTTTTTAACTGCTTTGTGTTAAAATAAGACATCTCAAATTACCTTCTGTTCTTTGTTAGGCTTTTACAAAGTGCAACTACTCCAAACGTTTGGAATTGCAGAACAGTTTTGCAATGGTTTGTTTAACCTGTTGAGGATAAATATATATTTTACTTCCTACTCAGGCATGATATATATATCATATATATATCATGCCTGAGTAGGAAGAAAGGGGAAAAACTGTAGACTTGCAGTTCTCAGCTTTGTTCTCTGCCATTTCCCAGCAGAGGATTCTGCATGCAGTGTTCTCGAGTCCAGTTTACTTCTCTTAAGGTAACAGGAATGGTTCAGCATGAGGGAAGTGCAGATGAACTAAGATCTAGTACAGCTTTTACAGCCTAATCTTTGCATTTCTTCATTTTTTTTTCCCTACTTGTCTGTTTATGAATAGAAGAAACAAATGGTTCTGTGACACCTGCAAACATGAATTTATTTATTTATTTAAAAAAGCAGGTAATGAGTAATAATAGTATTGAAAATCACTTCAAAAGTCTTAAATGAAATCTGCAAAAAGGTTTTTGAAGTCTACCAGTTACACAGTTGTGAGAATATAGTAAAGTAAGAAATGGATTTGTTATTGTTCCTCTATTGTTGATGTCCTAATAAAAATTTTAAATGCCTGTAGAAGATCAAAACAAACAGAAATGCTGAGCTTGTTATGTGGAAGAGTTTATGCAAAACAATCTCCTTTGAGATCCTGAATCAAATTGTTGCTCACTTCAGTATGTCTCAAAAAAATGAAGGTTTTTTAAAGATTCTGTGCGAGTTTTTATTTGAAAAGATGGAGTTGAATATTTTGGTTTTGACAAGCATTGAACTTCAAGTATTTGATCTGTGAACTATCTAAACATAAACATACTTTGTTTCAGTTTTTGCTTTTAGATTCTCTGGATAAATTGCAGTATTTTGTCACTAGCCTTAGTAGCTAAGTTATGTTGAGATTGTGTTACTCAAAACAGTGTTTGAAAATGAATCTTTGAGGGCACCTTATTCCCAAAGGCTATTTGTTGTTCTTGAGGTGTTTTTAGGCTGCTCCTTTGGGAGCTGACCAAAGCACCAAATGCTGCATTCTTCAGAGCTAAGGGGCAATAAAAGCTCCTTGTATCAGTATTGCTTGCAGAGGGGAGTACCGCAGACAAACTGGACCTAAGTAACTTCAAGAAATGCAACCACAGACATATTTTGGTAATTGTGGAATATTTCAAACAAAATACTAACCAAAGGCAAACAACACCTATAAACCAATCAGACTATTTACCCAAAACAGAATGGTAGGTGCTTGTCAGCATTTTCTGTTTATGGACACAGTAAGTCATAGGAGCCCGCATACGTGGTTGATACATGTAGGCACTGTTTTCCAGCTGACAGACATACTTGGGTTTTGGGCATTAAATGAAGAAAACTGTAATGAAAAAACTCTTGATACTGATTTCAGTAAAACATCTGGACTTACTCTTGGAACAAGGAGAGCTGCAATTAAACAAGGATGTTGAAACATGCAAAATAGCTGGAATTAATGGATTTAGTTGTCAACTGCACAAGTTCAAGCAACTTCAGGTCAAAACAGTCACGCTCCAGGCCTTTATATTTGTGTGCCTGGTAGACTTTGCCAGGAAAGAAAAAAAAACAAAACAAAACAAAAAACCAACCAACCAACCAAACAAAAAAAATAAAAATAAAAAAAAAAACCACAAAAACCCAAAACCAAAAAACCCCACAACTCTAAGCAGATTCAGTATTCTGAAAATTCATTAATGCATATGTGCATAAAAGTATAAGATACATTATTTTTATACTAGTACTATGGTGCTTCCTTCCACAAAAGGGTTAATAGCTGAATAACTGTTCTAAAATTTCCTTGTTCTGATTATGGTTTTTCTTAGTATTTGATTAAAAAAAGAGAAAAGTTCAAAATATTGATTAGGTTTTTAAAGTGCTAAATCTGCTTCAGTTTCTTAGAGAAGAAAAGAGCTATTTCATTTCTCATTTAAATTACAAGCCTGTGATGCAGTATTTTCACTTTTATGTTTGTTCCTATTGCCTTTTTATTGACAGTGGAAGAAATTTCAATGTTTAAAATGTGATTTTATTGTAATAAATAGAATCAAGTGTTACTTAGCGTTCTACTTGTAGCTGAGAATAATAGCTAGCCATTGTACCACAGTGTAATTTGAAATTTCGAGTAACTACTTGTGGTAACGTTTTAAATTCAACGTGCCAACTTTGTGTGCTCAGTGTTTGAGTTGGAAGTCGCTGAAAGCAATTAATGAATTGCGGGACAGTAATGGAGTTGATGTAAAATGCAGTATTCATTGTCGTGTTGATATCACCAACAGAAAATATTTTTATGTGTTCCAATTGTTTGCACATATTTTAATGGGATTAGTTGATCTTGCTGTAAGAATTGCAGTTCCTATTTGTCAAATTTTCACAGCTTGTACTTTTAACGAAAGGAAATGAATAATATTTTTGTGAGATGGAATTAGTGCAACATTTTGAAATGGTTTTCAGGAGTTTTGCAACAGTACATGTTGAAACCTTTTGTGACCATGGTCTGTTTGATCTGTGGTTCTCTAAATATATGTTTAATAAGCTGTTCTTCTCTTTCCCATTCCTAGACTTTGACAGTTCAAAAATTTTGCTTGGCAAATTGATGAAAATGCATTGTAAGTTCATAGTACTTCACTAATCCTTAGTGATGGAAGAAATCCTAAGAGGTTTATTGAGCTGTGGAAATTTAGTTGAGATGACAAACAATTTGCCAGCTGGCTTAAGGAACTGTATAAAAGACCTGGAAAAGATTGGTTCGGTTGAATCCTGTAGGGAGTATATTGCTCATGTTCTTCAGAACATCCCCAAATCTGGATTTATGATGAAGTACAAATCCCAAAGCATAAGATGATGTTTACAAAAGAGAAAATTGTAAATAGTTCTGTTCCATTTTACTGTCCTTGGATTTAAGGCTGGCATTTTACATTTTTACTAAGTGGCTTGGTTTTTTTGTAAATGCTTTCAGGATGCTGTTCAGGTGTTGTTAAAGCATTCAGCAGATGTCAACGCTCGTGACAAAAACTGGCAGACACCCCTACATATAGCAGCTGCAAACAAAGCTGTGAAATGTGCTGAAGCTTTGGTGCCTCTTCTAAGCAACGTAAATGTGTCTGATCGAGCAGGCAGAACTGCATTGCATCATGCAGCCTTCAGTGGACACGTTGAGGTAAGAGTTATTTATATTAGTTTGTTTGCCACTCATTGTTCTGTCCCTCGCATTTCTGATGTTTAGTTTCTCAGTTTAAAATCATGTTACCCGTCCCCTCAAAAAACCCCACCCCAACCCATATTTTGTATTTCAATTTGTCTTTTGTATGCATCTGTGTACAGAATGCTTGTGGGAAATACATGTTACGTCATTTAGTTGGAAGGCTATTACAGCATTCACCTTTCTTAAGACAGAAGCAAACTTGCCTGAGTTAAGCAGAGTTAAGCTAGTAATAGATAAATTTGAAATGGAAAAAAAAGAAATTTTTCTGTTCAGTAGATAATGAACATATGGAATGTGTTGTCACTGAAATACGTGTGGTAAGCTCTAACTTGCTAGTTTTCAAGCCCTGGAAAATGACTGCTGAGAAATTCCCATTGTAATTGAGTATAAGTAACTGGAGACAAATTGGTAATAGGCTTGCTTTTAGGGATTACCTTTAGTGAATCCCTTAGTAACAGCCTGAAGATTTCAAAGATTCCATAGCTTTGCTGTACTTAACTGGGAAATGCTCTTGTTGACATTGAGTTTTGTGTTCCTTACTGTCACTTTATTATTGCTGCCAAGGTGGGCAACCAGTTTTTTCAAGCTTACAGAATATTCAAAAACTAACGCATTTAAATCTTTTGAAAACACATATTTTTGTTTTCTCCTGTGATTTTTCTTTGTCTAACTTTAAGCAGAGTTTTCAGTTATGAATAGAGGATTTTTTTCTTTCTCTTTATCTCAGATGGTCAGCTTACTGTTGTCTAGAGGGGCCAATATTAATGCATTTGACAAGAAAGATAGACGAGCTATACATTGGGCAGCATATATGGGTATGTACATATTTCAGTTGATTAATATTGTGGTAGTAAAAAAAAATCACCTTATATTTAGTGATTTTATATATTTCTAGGAAAAATATATACATTTGTAAGTGTTGAGGTTATCTGTGTGTCTGCCAGAAAACCGTTAGTAGTATACTTCAAATTGCCTTGTAGATGTGTCTTTGTGGTGAGAAAAATCAATTTGTTGGGAAAAGAAAAGTAAGGTAAGTAATTTTATTTTTTAAAAAGAAGGAACTACGTTCCTCAATCAGCAAAAAAACAGATGAAAACTTTTGCAATAATGCTAAGTAGAAAGTAAACAGTGAATACAAGGGGCACCTGAAACAGGGTAGTTACATGGACCTTGGGGATTGTATTTTATTGGAGAAGAATATTTCATCCCTAAAACTTCCAGTTCTTGCTTTGCCATTCTTATTCCAGGAGTGGATAATTACTCTTCTCATGGTATTGATCAAATGCACTGGCTGTACTTTAAAAGTAATGTACTTCATGGACTTTTATCAGACTTTCTTTTTATTAAGTGGTAGGAATAGTTTTCTTCAGCATAGCTGTAATAAATAGTAGAGCTTTGTGTCTCAAGGTTCGTTTAAAATATAAGCAATATAAACCATTGGAAGGTGAATCATAGAAAAACGCAGATTAAGAATTCTGGGCTGACACTGACTGCTTAGCTTATTATATATAATTTCTTGTTCCTGTTATGTTTTGATGATACGCATTTTCCTGAATTTTAAATTCTCCAGAAAGTACGTATTTATATGCCTAAGGTACCATCTTATGAAACTTGAGGAGAAAAACAGTCAGGAAGAGAACATGGTCCTATTATTTATGGCAGAATTTTTTTCAGAGGTGATCTAAAGATGTGAACATTTTTGTTCCTGTTTTGCTCTTATGACTGTATTGGTGAAAACCTTTATAGATAGGGTTTATAAAGGAGCACCTTGTATTTGTGACATTTAAGTTAATGTATAAGGAGAGTAATTTCTATGCTGCCCCTTCCCTGAGTAAAACAAACTGATTTTACTGTCTCTGTTATCAAACCAAAAAATAAACACACATAAACTAGGAAATTACATGGACTCATTACATTGACATCTCTTAAGTCTAGGATAACTCTGCCTCGGAGGTCTGATCTTAGGCAAAATGCCCCTCAATATGCAGTTTGGTATTAATGCTTATTATTATGAATGAGAGAATTACTTATAAATAGGCATGATGCTGCGTGATGTGTATGTGTGTGGGGTGGTTCTTAAAAACAGACTTGAGGTTGCTAATGAACCATATTTCTCATCTGTGGTTCTGTGCCTGAGTCTCTTACATAACTGCTTTGGAGTCGTTGCATTTATCCAAGCAGTATTTCCCAGTCTTGCCAGGAAAGAGCAAATGGAAGCAGTAACTTAAAAGTGCAAATGCAATTTTAAACTTACACACTGAGCAAAAAAAAAAAAAGGACCAGTAGCATGTAAGACAGTCCCTATTTAAACACAGTCACCAAAAACCTTACCCTGAATTTTGATGGTTGGCAACGAGTTGTTCATTGTATGAAATGTGCTTTGGTCTCAGAACTGAGAATTCTGGTCTTTGCAAAATCACACATTTACAAAATGGGGCTTGTTTGTAAGATCTCAACAGTTGTAAGTGTGATGATCTCAGAAACACCTGGATTCACACAAAAGTGGACTTATTCACTGTTGTCTTTGTAAAACCCTGTGTTTTGGGCCAATTTCACATTAGTCTTATGTCCCTGACAATACAGGCCTGAAATAATCTGATAGCAATGTAAAACAAGGCTGTGAAATGCTAAAAAGAACAGGACCCTGTTGATCTGTCTTCAAAGGAAGAGACTTGAATGCGCCAGTGAATTATGAAGTGATCGCACGGCGTTAATACTCTAATTTGAAGCTATATGACATTGCACTTGAAGTACTAATACCACTACTTGAAACTGAGAATTTAAAGAACAGTCTTCATTATTGATCCAATGTTCTCTGGATATTTTGTTTTATTATTTTGTAATCTACTTGCATATGCAAAGCAATGTCTGTGACAGGCGTCCAACCACCTTACTTGAGGTGATGATTTGCAAAATTTTGTTGAATGAAACTTGTGCCTGAGATGGAAGAAATCTGACAAGTGTCAGTGAGAGAATAGAGGTGTTTTCTGTCTTGTGTTCACCTAGATGAGAGAAAAGTCTTCTATTTTGTCAGATAAGCTGCTTTTATTCTGATTTTAGTCACTGCTATTTCATAGGCTATTAACAGGAATCTCTGTTAATGAGCAGCGTTTGGGTGGGAAAAATTTATCTGATGTCCATCAGCCTAAATATCCTTGCAGACAACAGAGCAGGAGCAGCTTTTCAAAGTCTTCAAACAAGGAGAAAAAACCTGTGACAATCTCTGCAATTTAGAGCCATTTTACACTGCTCCAATTGTTTGAAGAAAGTCTTAAAGCTTTTCCGCCAAGTAAAACTGACCATAGAATAGAAAAGAAGTTAGGCTTTTCGTCACTCTACTATAAATAACTTTCTAGGGTTATATCCATTGTTTCCCTTCCTTCCTGCTTTTCACTCAGCTCCATTGCTGTCCAGCTGCAGTGCTGTGACTAAAATGGACTTCCATTCTTGCATGCTAGCGTCGCCCTCATTAGTGTATCGGGATGTCTCCTCAGCGCTTCCCACTTCAAGTACCTTGTTCTTCTGTTTGAGTGTCTTCCACTGATTGCTGCTTGCATTTTCAATGAAGGTCAGGGATTTTTTGGTTTTTTTCTTCTTTTTAAAGTTTTTCTGCCACTGTTCTGTTCAGTGTCTCTCTTCCTTCCACTTCTTTCAGTATCTTCTGTACTTCTGTCTCTCATATAGGGCTTGTTTTCATTCGTGTCCACATTATATTTGGGTCAAAAGATGAGTATCATGTTTACATTTCTCTTTCTCTTCTTTCCTACAATACTGAAGTGATTCAGAAGTGAAATATTGCAGCACTTCCCATTGCACTGGTAAACTGTTTCTGATCGGTATAGCTAGCTGAAATGTCGTTTTGTATGTTGTTTGGCATGCAGCATAACATAGGTGGTATGGTGACTGAATGTTTATCAAAGTAACTTTGACTGTATTCCTTTGGGTAGATGCTTCCTATTCAAAATTTTGCAAATTCTGTTAGTCATTGAAAAAGCAAAGACCCTCACTTTTTATGAAGCACTTAAACTGAAGGCTGGATTTGATACTTTTTACTTATATGTCTTGACTGGATAAGCATAGGTATTCAGTGTGCCCCTCACCACTTCTTAACTAAAGTAAGGTGTCACTTGAAAGGTAAAACAAAGAATCCCGCATCTGTCTGTATGGGTCACTTACAAAGGTAGAGCACAAAATATATCATGGTCTGTTTAACTCTCAAGTGTGATCCTTCATTCTGCAGACTTTGTCATGATTATCCGTGTGTTTTCAGTGATTGACTCATTTGGCAGTTAAATTAACAACTAAGCAAAAATGACAGATTTTTTTTTTTTGGTTACCCCATTTTCATAGCTTTTCTTTTAGTGTGCAGTGTCAGAACTGCATGCAAGCTAGTGGGGGAGCATATGGGCACGGTGAAGGGGAAACCTGGTTGCCCTTTGCAGCAGCAATGCAGTCTTGGGGCCCCTGGCCCAGTCACAAAGCTGGCAGCGAGAGCTGCTGCCCGCTACTTCAGGGTGGGCTCCCTGCCCTCCCTTCCCTTTTCAGCCCTCTTACCTGGAACTTCCCCAAGGTCACCCCTTCCCCATGATCCCACTCACCTCTTACTTAGGAGAATGTTGATGGTTTCAGAAGGCTCCGGTTCCTCAGAGGCTGGAGTCAGTTTTGACAATAGAGCTTTGCTAAATCCGGTGTGATTTGTGTCAACTTTTTAAAGGCTTTGCAAGTAAAGGAAGTTGGATTGGGGGATGGGGGATATATTTTTGTTTTAGAAATAGAATGTTTTCTTCTTTTCATGTTTGTGTGATTTTTTCCAAAGTTTATGCTGAAGGCCTTAAAAACCTTAATGGGTGTATTTGCAGTTGAGGTGAAGGTGGAAGACTGACAGTCGCATTCTGTCTCAAGTTGTTAACAGAAATTTGCAGTAAATGTTTAATAATTACAAAGTTATTTTACCTCTTTAGTTCTCAAATCTTCTCAAAAAACCCTTCTGTAAGCAGAGATAAGATTTTATTTTTTTTTTTTTAATATACAAGATTATTTTTGCAGTATAAATACTATGATTATTGGAGGGGGTATGTGCAAATACTCTCTTCTGGAGATTAATATTTTATGTTGCTTTTATAGTTCATGATCCAATTAGAACACAAGAACAATTCTTTATTTTTCCGATTAGGTCCAAATTAATAATGTCTTGTTCATGTTATAACAAGTGTACAATTATTAAGTTTGTAAACTTGTGCTGGTTAATATAAAATGCAGCTTCATTGTTTTTGTCTTTATTCTTTTAGGTCATATTGAAGTTGTGAAATTACTTGTGGCCCATGGTGCTGAAGTGACATGCAAAGACAAGAAATCGTATACACCCTTACATGCTGCAGCATCTAGTGGAATGATCAGTGTAGTCAAATATCTTCTAGATCTTGGAGTTGATGTAAGGAAGAATAAAACAAAGTGATGCATATTTTTTTTGTTTTTTGAAATGCTCTTGTTAGTATTGTAACACACTGCTTGTTTAGGGGTGGGTTATGATATAGTGAAAATAAGTCTTTCCAAAGATCTTCATTCACACGGGTTTTTTTTTGTTAGAAAACATTATTCCCCAAGTAACTTCAGAGCCTTGCAGTTTTTGCACAACTATTTGGAAATAAGTTTGTATTTAGTAAGTTTTTTGTTCATTTGGTATTTCTTACTCTTAGTTCATTTGACTGGAACTCAGGAAATAGGAATTCTGTTCCGAGCTTTGCCAACAATCCTCTTTGAACTGCAGGAAGATAAAACTCTTTTGCTTCAGTTATTTGTAAAATATAGGTGTTACTGACTTTCTTACACCATTTAAGTTTTGGGAAATACTAAAAATTGTGAGAAACTTCAATACTACAGTAAGGAAGGCCATATTAATATTGCAATGAAAAATAAATTACAATTTATTTTATTACAAAATAAATCTACATGTACCTGTACATGTAGAAAGTGTATTAATAGATGGTGAAACTGTGGAAGAACACACACTACATTGTGCATCACATTTTAGTAGAATGCTTCAGAATGCTGCCAAAGTTCTATCTTGAGTAGATCGGAATTCAGGATCATGTTTTGTATAACAACAAATTCTACTTCTATGTACCACCCCACCCCCACCCTCCCAAAGCAAAGTCCCTTTGACCTCCGTTTTTAAAAGGAAACCCACAAATACTGTTGAAAAATGAGAGAGGCCTGTGCTGTGCTTAGTCTGTAGTGTCTGTTGACATTTTTTTCCGTATATGTGTTCTGTCAAGTTGCATACTGCGTATAGGAAACTGGTGTGGAGACAATTGGAGGAGGTTGGCTGACTTGTAAAGCATTTGTACTCCTCCCCGGTACACGCTTCTAGATCAAAGTACTACATCCAGAACTTGCTTTTAAGTTCTGGTTTTGAAGCGTTCCAAAATTCAAAATTAAGAAATTCTCATGACATGAGATTTTTTTCTTTGTAATAATTAAATGTTGCAGTAATACAGGTGTTTGTCTACTAACTAATCTTTTTTTTTTTTCTCTGATAGATGAATGAACCAAATGCCTATGGAAATACTCCTCTTCATGTAGCTTGCTACAATGGGCAAGATGTTGTAGTGAATGAACTCATAGACTGCGGTGCTAATGTAAATCAAATGAATGAAAAGGGTTTTACGCCTTTGCACTTTGCTGCTGCGTCAACACATGGAGCATTGTGTTTAGAGCTTTTGGTCTGTAACGGAGCAGATGTAAATATGAAGGTGGGTGAGTCCATTCACACTTAAAGATGCAGTGCATCTTTATCAGAGGTAATTTTTCAAAATCATTATGATAACATTTAGAAGTTTCCAGTGACTGATGGAGTACTTCTGTGAAAAGTACCGTATAAAAAATGAGCCAGTGTGTTGCTTCAGTGAACTTTATCTGAATCGGAAAACCTCAATGGGATGCAGTAAATGGCCCAAAAGGGTAAAGAAAGATGACAGTACTGTCTCATCAATCTTGATTATATTTAACATCAGAATTCCATGTAACTTGTCTTCACTAGTCTATCCATATGAGTGAGAGCAAATCATATGGGAAAATGCAAAAGAACATGTTTTTTTTCTAAACAAGCGGCATTAACAAAATCAAGAATATTTCAGAGAAATGTGTATGAACAGGCTAATTGCTGGAGCACTTAAAGAGCTGGTAATGTTAGATCCTAAAATCTAACTAATAAGGGAGAGTTGTGAAGGGTGTATTAAAAATACAAAGGTAAGTAGATTAGGCCAATGGAAAGTCTTAAACAGCTGTGTTTTTAACTACTCCAGCAAAACTTTGCAAGCAGAGTCAGTATATATTTTACATATCTCTACTTGGTCACAAGTCTTTGGCTGAAGAATATTCCTTAGAATCCAGTCTTAGTGTAAGTGCACACAATCAGAAAAGCAAACTATAACCCGTATCTTTTATTATCTTCTCAAGTGTGTGGCATAAGGTCTTGAGATGTGAGAGAAATATGTGAGACTTCCTGGTTTGTATTAAGTTGATTTTTACTCTAGTAATGAAAGCTTAGCTCTGTTCAGAAATATTTGGTGGCAGTATGTGGTGTCTTGACAGGTTTCAAGCTGGGGGAAGTGGGAAACAGATATATGGAATGATGAGTCCAAGTGTTCCTCTTACAAAATATCTAATTGCCTGTACTGTTGCCTACGTGTGGTAGGAAGAGAATTATCTATCCTTTTATTTCTTAAAAAAAAAAAATAATAAAAAAATGTTTAATAGAGTTATGTCTGGATTTCAGCACAATCTGGACAAGAAGTGGATGTTAGAACAGCTAACATTTCTGTTGAAATTCGTGGGGTTTGTGGCTCACTTCATATAAGATATTCACATTGATTTTCAGCTAACTAGTCCTAAAATACATTTTTGTATCTATCGTTAGTACAAAATCTGTAGCACACTGAAAATTTGGGAGTAATTTAAGAATAAGTGATTTGGTGTGGAAAAATCTTAGATGTATGTTTCTGCTCACTTTTACATATATTTAAAAGTGCAGCTCACTTAATGAAAACTTACTTAAATGCAGTTGTGGAAAAATTAATCACGAAAGTGCCCTGGAGAAGTAAGGAGCTATGCTACAGAGTTTATTGCCAACTTGTCCTAAAGTACATGGGTCGCAGTCCAATTATTTTCGTTGCCAGCTCTCTGCTCTGCATAATGTCCCAGAGGGTTTAGCCTTACAGGGCTGACTTCTGTCCAACGTTCTTGAAATGTCATTTCTCAATAAAGTATGTTCTGTCATGAAAATAGTCCCACAATGTTAAATGTACCGATGTATGTATGTTACTTACACAAATAAGAACAAAAGAGAAACGTTAACTATTGCCAAGTAAAGAATTACTCTTTTACATACATGCTGGGTTGCAAGGGTTCCTGACTTGGTGCATATTTCTGGTGCAGAAGAAAGAAGTCGGGAGGGCTTCATTTCAGAAGGATGTGCAGCAAGTAATGGTGGTTGGGGTTTTTTGGCTATTCATTTTCAAATGCACCTTAATTGTAGATTAGGAATGAAAGTTAAAAACTTTGAACATTCTATTAGGGTAATTAAATACTTTTAAAGGTTATGATAATCTTTCTGTTTGAACTTAAAATAAGAATCATTGTTTTACGTATGATATACACTGTAGATACTGACTATATTTAGTCAGTTGTGACACTAACCTTAGAAATTGTCCGAAGAATGGCTAATATCTTCAAAGTGACTGGCAAAGTTTCTGAATTCTTTGAAGTTTATGATGTGGATGAACTTTTGTTTGCAGGTGACAAAAGATGTTTTAACGTCAGAGAGATGTATTGTTGCCTTCTTTCCCATTCAATTTTAAGTCATGGGATCCAGAGTATAGATTGTCAGTTCTTATAACTTGAAAAAACCCCACAAAACCTTAGAACATTTTAGGGCAGGTTCTCTCTTAAGCTTACTCTGAAATGAGAACACCATTTTTTCTGGAGTATGATACTGGTGGGGCTGGGCAATGCAGCATGAAGCATATCAGAGAGCTGAGAATTTCAGCTGAAGTCTTAAGAGCTTAGTACAGATTTGGCTCCTGGAGTTAGCCTGCTTCAGAAGAAAATGTCTTTGCAGTGGATAGGGTTAGTAGCTTTAGCTATAGGTTGGCTGTAATTAAAATGTGTGGATTTAGTATCAAAACTGTTAAGTGTGAAATTAAGCAAGTAGGGTGGTGTAGGGATTTTAAGTAATTATAGCTTGAAAACAGCATTTATGCTGTTTCTGCACCAACATATGTCTCCATTATAATTCTGTTAATAGCATTTCTGTGGATTTATACCAGTAGGACTGGATTTGGTCTGTGAGTTTGCACCTGAAGGTGTGAACAGCCTTACTTTGTATATGAAAACTTACCACTTGAACTGTTGAAAAGGGTAAGAACTCAGGCAAAAGAAAATAATTTCCAAGTCAGCTTCTGCTTCCCTGGGAAGGCCTATAAGGATAAATCTTACATTTAATCAGAAGAAAAATCCCTAAAAAGTAGCAAAGGGAAATTGATTTAGAATATGTTGTATAGCTGAGAATATTCTGTAGAGTGAAAATGGGATGCTTTTAGAATGTTCTTACTAAGTATTTATTGAAACCAAGCTTGTTCAGTTTCCAATACTGAGGCTGAAGTTCAAAGAAGTTCTTACAATTGTTATAAGATTTATTTTTCATTATAAATATATTGCTTGTCTAAACTGATTCAATAGTTCCCTCCCATGTGCAACTGTTTCTGCAGTTTTAGAGGTAGCAGAGTGGGTATGGATGGTAATCTAGGTGCAGACTAGACAGTACTGTTAGACCACTTTCTGCTGTGGCTGACTTAGTGGGGAGAGCTCTTACTCTTGAGTGCAGGTGAGTGCTTGTGCATATTTGTGGATGCTGGCCTCATCTCAAGAGGGGAATATGTAGCAGAAGATAATGGAACAGCAGAAGTATGTTACATGCTTTTTATCACCTCTGTAGGCAGAGGACATCATTTCATACTTGTTTTTGTAGACTTGTCAGCGTCCATATAGTACTGTAGAACAGTGAATCCTGTTAAGTATTGCTCATTACTGCAGCGCTCTCTCCTCACTGTTAAGGATTTCCATGCATGGAAGAACACATTCAAATGAGTACGTAATGAGACAGTATTAATTGTTTTATGGGGCCCCTTGCTGCTTGAAAATTCAGTGACCTAAATAGAAAAAGTATTTTACTTCCATTGGTGATACTTGAACATAAGAATTGTTGCTAGGGGCAGTTTTCATTTGGAGGAATGCTGTGACATGATAGACCCACATGATTTCCCCTGACCCTCAGTAAAGCTCAGTAGTCTGAGTACAGTTAATATCTGAGTAATCACTTGATAGAATACCTTGTGCTGTGTGTTAATTCTTTCTGTCTAATAGCAATTACTGTTCTTAGCAAATTTCGTATGATCTTAAGTGTTTTGATGATACGTTGTCTCTAGTGACAGAGGAGACTTGGGTGATTTCTTTCCTATTACCACACTTAATTGAGTTTCAGTGAAGGTGACAAAAGTTGTCATTAGCCCATGGCTGTTCTAGCAAGAGCTCTGATCCTATCTGATCTCGTAAAATTGGACAGCTGTTAAATATTAATAAATATTAAGTTAACTTAATATTTAGATAGAAGACCTTAAAGGCATGAAAAAAGGAAATTAAAGCAAAAGTTTTGAAGATAACTTCCTTGCTTATGCAGTTACCTCCTGGCATCTCAGGAAACAGTTCCTTGCTCAATAAATAGAGCCTTGTTGTTTCATTGCTTAAAGAACTCCTGGCTACCGGTTGTGATTCTGTATATCCTTCCCTAGTGACAATGTCTAAGAAGGGAATTTTGAGTGCAGTCCTATACCTAGCAGTTCAGCTTCAACATGGAAATTACCACCTTCATTTAGTTTTATACCTGTTCTGTGTCTATATGTTGATAGACAATTGCATGTTATGTTATTCCTGGGTTGCGAAGGAACGTGAGATTGTTACACTGGAGAGGCACTGTGGATAATCAAATCCATTGTCCTGGAAATCTACATTAAGTGCATTTTTAAGCAAATTTGAGCAGAGTAAATCTAAAACTATGTTATTGATTGTACTGTGGTTTTTCATTTACAACTGGAAAATTTTGTAGCTTATTTTGCTGTCCTTTGCAAGATCTTACTCGTGTTGTCTTGTGAGTGTTCTCACTTGACCTCTTGACCACTCCTTAGTTTGTAATACTGTCACCTTACCTTAGTCTTGTGTCCTTCTAAGGTACTTTATTAGTGTGCTTAGTGAGACTTGGATCTACTTTTTTCTGCTCCGTCTCCTTTCTCTTCATTAGCCTTCCTTTGAGATACAGATTTAGCACATCTGAGCCAGTGAGACTGCAGGCTTCTTTATCTAAGCCCTTAAATTCTTCTGTCTGTTACTTCACTAATTTATTTCTTTACTTTCTCAAAGTTTCCCCTTTTAAAGTTTAGAATGTTAATTACCAAAGCAGGTTTTGTTCACTCACTCCAGCTAAGCTTCTGTTATATGACCATTTTTTCTTTAAATTGATTGATCCTTCAGCTTAAAGAAGGAGAAAGAGACACCAGATGTGTAACGATTGTTTTAAAGGACGAAAATTGGATACAGATAATATTAATGATCGGATAAAGAGAGTAGAACTAAACCATGGGGAGAAAGATGAAAGGTAGACATTAGAAGAAAATTTTCTTTTTAAGAAAATCAGAGCATAGAGATTGCTTGGGGAAGTCATCACTTTGATGTGTTTATTTGGCCTTTTCTTAAGGCCTCCATGGCAGAAGTAAAACCAATTGTTGAATTCCTCAAGTGGATTTCAACACTATTTTCTGTGTTTCTTTGCATCTGCTGCGGATATGTGGATGTGTCTTTTGGATTATTTACAGTCAAAGAAATCTGCTAGGTGAAACATCTGGAGATAACTTGGCTGTCACTATCAAGTGTTTTATTTCTTTCAATCTTGGTCTTGAGAAGACATTTCCTGTAACTGCATTGTTCTAGGTGGTGTATGCTGCTCTGTGCAGTGACACAACTAAAAATTCCACATCCACCTCTGTGTAAAGGGGTCTCCAGCATGCTTTCTTTTCTGTAACACATCCATAGAAGCTTTGCCATTTGGTTTCAAAGGAAGAGTAAAGATGGGAAGACACTTTTGCATATGACAGCAGTTCATGGTATTTCAATATATATGTTCATCTTGTATGTTCCCCCTACCATCTTTGTCTTTTTTGACTTCATGTTTTGTGAACATTTCATACCCTTCAAAGCCAACATTTAAAATTTGAAGATGTGGTATGCATGTGCATCCAAGTGTTCTTTTTATTTTCTGTGTTTTGTTTGAAGTTTTCTGTGTGCATTTGTGGGAACTTTTTTCTACAAAGTAGGCCTTTCCCATTACGTATGATGAAGTACGGGGGGAAAAAATCATCCTAAAATAATAATAACAGAAAAAAAGGGGGTTGTAAGTGCATTGAGATGGTGTTGAAAATTGAAATCCCTTTATGCATTACTGTTGGCCTACTTGAAGGATATTTTTGAGTAAATTACTTAAGTGCACATTTGATATGTGTGTCAAATGTATGGTACCAATTATGCTTGAACAGTTCTACCCTAGGATTACTTGTGTCTTATAATAAATTGCTTACAAATACCATTTTACAGAAATTTCCATGAAACACATGAGCTTTTTGTGTTGTCTTCTAATGTAATGTGTATACCTCTATAGTAAATACAGTGGGGTTTTTCCAAGAATCAAACTTAATTTAAAGAAGCATTGTTTTGTTCTAGACTTGGGCAAGGGAAGAGTTGGACATAGGCTTGTTGCTAAAGTTGTGCATTGTCATCATCTTCTTGAGAGTGATTATCATAAAAGCGTAACTGTGAGTGAGTAGGCATCGCTGAGTTGTCACTCACGGCTGCAAGGCTGATTAAGAGCAGCTCTTTTGAAAAGCTTGCCATGTCATTCTGAGTTGTCACTGCCAGCATCTGTCTTGCAGAAGCGCACAGAAACAATTTAAGGAGGGTATAGAGGGGAAAGAAGAAAGTAAAAGAATGTGCTTTTTCTGGTTGGTTTGGTTTTTTTGTTCAGTTCTGGTGGATTACTGTTGCTGGCCATAAGTAAACGGTGGGTTTTGGTTTTTTTCTTTTCCAGAGTAAAGATGGGAAAACACCTTTGCACATGACAGCGATCCATGGTAGATTTTCAAGATCTCAAACCATCATTCAAAATGGTAAAAAGGGGAGGGAGCAGTTTTGTCATCAGCTTACCACTACTACAAATATTTTCCTTCTCTTATATTGGTAACAATGTACTGAAATTTTTTTCATAGTAGTTTGGTTAATGGTGGAGTCTGGCATATCTGTTTATGAAGTTTGATATTGAAGAACATTGAAGAACCATTTATTTTTCAGAATGTAGGAAAATATATTAATTTCTTTTCCATAACCCAGGTTGCAGAAAGTTTTTTCCCCATACGGTTACATAATAAAACACTTCTCTCTATTTTGTTTATTATTGATTCTAAATACTACTGAAAGCTGTATAGATTTTAAATCCAAAGTACTCATTCATGGACAATGATTAATACTGCTTTAAATTATGATCAGTGCTGGTTTTCTAACAAAAGTATCTGTATGCCTATGTATATTCTTACTTAGTAATTACTTTTTATTATAGGAGCTGAAATAGACTGTGAAGATAAGAATGGAAATACTCCTTTGCACATAGCAGCTAGATACGGCCATGAGCTATTAATCAACACTCTGATTACGAGTGGTGCTGACACTGCAAAGTAGGTAACTTTACTGGCATGAATGCAAGCTGAGAGAATTTAGAAATTTGTTTGTTAGATTAACAACACTAGTATGATTTTTTTTTTTAATGTCATCTTCAACTTGAAATAGGAAATACTTAATGTGTTACCCTGATTGTACTTTTAAGTAGCTACTCAGTACATTGCAGTTTGCACAAAAAGAAAGAGAAGTAGATTTTTCTCAAATGTATTTGAAGTAAAAGCGCTTTAAGTTTTAACAGGCTGTTGCACTGACTTAATGCATGCTGCTGGCTTCTAAGGAAGCATTTAATATGTGAAGTTTTCCTAAGACTTAGTATTCTAATTAGGTGGTGGTTTGCTGAACCCGCCATGCACATGCACATTGGCGCACAATTGTGTTTGTTTTATTTTAATTGTAATGAAACTGTGATACCTGATTATGGTGTATCTTAGGCGGGGTATACATGGGATGTTTCCTCTCCATTTGGCAGCATTAAGTGGATTTTCAGACTGCTGCAGAAAGCTCCTCTCATCAGGTAGGATACTCTTTAAAAATCTTATGGCCACTTTGTACTTTGTTTTTTATTCCACAGAACAGCTTTTAATTAAGTCTTAATTTAGTAATACATAAAAATCTTCATAGTTTACTAGTAGCCTGGGGCCAGTGCTTGTTTTTTTTAATGGACAGTCCGTAGTTAGTGCAAACTTTTACAGAAGTAATTTTTTTAAAAAAAAAGGTCATGCAAATTGAAATAATGCACCTATAACTTTTTTTATATTGCATTTGTGTGTTTTTAAGTTGGCTGTAGAGGTGGAATGAGTGGTTCAGACCATAATGCAACTTCCAGGAGAAAGACTCATTCTCTTAAATGACTTCATGGAGCATCCTCCATTTCCCTTCTGTGATGTCTTTAGCTTAATACAGCTTGGGCTATTCCTGTCTGTTCCTGTAGCAGGCATTTAATACCTCTGAAGACTCTGTGGACTACTGCTGCATTAAGAAACTGTTGCATTTGTGATTTATTATTAATTATATGCAACCCAAACTGGGCTTTGCTTTCATTGTTTGATGCCTCCCTGAAGCTGTGGAGGGTTCTAAGAGTATTACTTCCCTTGTTGTCCAGAGTCTGCTCGAGTGTGAATTCTGAGCTCTTTGAACCATTGCAATTCTGAGAAAGTAGATTTGTCTGAAGGACTATGGAAGCTTCCAGAACAGAAGAAGAAGAAACTAAATGGTTCTATGTTAATCTAAAGGCACTTCATGTTTTTTGAAAAAAGAAAACTGGGGGCAGAGGGTTGGGGAAAAGGAAGAATAAGAAGTTTCTTCCCCAGCTTTATATTGTCTGCTAGTCCTATAGTTGACTATATTTCAATTGGATGTGTTCAAAATGAGGAATACTCTGGCTCTTTCTCCTTTCTGCACATGGTGCTGTGCTGGCCATGCCCTTACTGGGGATTCAGTATGGCAAAGGAATCCCTGTGGAAGCCTTGAAAGTGGTTTCTGTGACTTTTACATGAGCAAACTTGGATGTAAATCTAGCCTGGAGCAGATAAGGACTTGAAGAGTATGTTCAGTCTGATTCAGACTGGAAAGGCTAGATACTGCCAACAGCTTATTAGTACATGTTCTTGGTGTGGGGATTGGTATCTGCAAACTATGGGCCCTTTTGGTTTTGGGAGAAAGTCTCATTTATGTAAATTACAAATTTCTGTTGTTTGAATTCATTAATATTCATGTCCAGGACTTAAAAAAAAAAATCATCAATCTGCCTTGTCCCAGTACTGAATGACATCTAAGTAGTTAGTGGTGTTAGACAAGGAACTTAGGGATGTGGAAAGGCATCAGCGACTGGTTTTCAAATCAGATGGGTAAACTGTCTTAAATTGTTTGCTGTGTATCACTGCCTATTGAAATGGGAGGACAACGTAGTAGCGCATACAAAAGCTATGTTTTAGGGGATATGGAGTAGGAAAACAGTCTTGAATAGTAATACTCTTGAATAACACATCCTGTGCTGTTCCCTCTTTTATCATTGTTGAACAATTCTTAAAAGGGGCCGGGGGCGCGGAAATTGCATTCCCAGGCAAAAGTACCAAACCTGGAGATTTGATGAATAAGTTTTGTTGCACAAGAGCAGGACTTTTAGGAGAATACAGTAGTTTTCTCAAACCAAAAATGTAGCTTTGAAACCTGATTTAAATAGTAAACTTCATGTCAAAGTATATGGTTAGAGATGGAATTGCACAGTTAAAAGTTTGTGATCTCATTTGAAGTTCCACAGTTCACACATTTTGGGAAGAGAAAACTACAATGTTCTCTAAAGGGCTTCTCTGTAAGTAACATCTTAACAAAGTTTTCTTTGAGACTAAAGAGCTAAACTCAAGGATGAAATTTAAGTAGCTTCTGGATTTGGTAATGCTGACATCTTGTTTATTAAAAAAAACCAAACCACCCAAACAAAACACAAAAACACACAATAAATCTGCGTAACACTGATGAATTCTAGGATATTCTTAAATTTTCATATTACCTTCATATATTTTATATTCAATACTAAATTACACAGAAATGTTAGCAGGCAAATACAATAGGAAAGAATATAGCTTCTTGCCTCAGTGCGGCTAATTGTCTCTTACCTTGTCCCTTTCAGTTTTACTTGAACACCTGTTTTTCAAAATATGAATAGCTAGAATGTGTTTCGAATTAAGTAAATTTTCAGTGCTTAAGTGCTTTTTTGCAAATAGCTGTTAAGTTTGCTTAGCAAGCATTTCTCTTAAGAGCAGATGAGAGCAGTTTTGTGGAAGGTTGTGTTAGGTAATGATTTTACAAAATACTTGATTTGTAGGTTTTGACATTGACACACCAGATGACTTTGGCAGGACTTGCCTTCATGCAGCTGCAGCTGGAGGGTATGTAAAAAAGCATTCATGCTTTCAACTTTAGTGGTCTTTTTTCAGTTGCTGATCATTGGTTCTTTTTTATTATTTCCTCTCTGTTCTTTTCCTGCCCTCTCCCCTTGGAATTTACGTAAACATGAAAATAATTTCGAGATGGATTCTATCTACAGACAATAAAAATTAAATATTCTGCTCAATAAGTAATTATTGGAGTACAGTGTCCAAGTATCATCAGCCTTACCTTAGGTTTGTGCTTGGGGATGAAATGAATTTTATTTTAAATTCCCATGGATGATGATATAATTTTTAGAATTGACAGCATTCAAAGATGGCATGCCCAGCTAAGATCACTGTAGGACATGAGGTGGAGAACAGCAAATTTAGGAAATGTGTTTTTACCGTATCCATAAAGAAAAGATCAATCTAACTAAATTAAAAGCCATAATGAAGTTCCAGAGTTTAGGTGGATGAAGTAGTCAGAACTACTTGCTCATCACTTGAGTTGTGATCCGTATTGATTATTGTTATTGTATTGTAGGTTTTCTATAGCAGCTACTCAAAATTGCCTGGAAGAATTGGGTAATAAATTTCATGATACACTTTGTGGGACACAAGAACTCCATGATATTGATATTTTCATTTTTCTGTTTCAATGTTGTTTAAGTAATACTGTTAAGTAATCATTCTAAGTCAAAAGATACGTCCTTGTTGCAAATGATTAAGGTTAAAATGCTCTCTTTTCATATAAAAACACATAATTTGTGACACATTCCCTCATTCATCTCCAGTTTAGGAAAGTTACTAAGATAGTGTTTAAACTATAAGCAGTATTGTACATCTGTTATAATTATCATATTGTGTTGAAAATGAATTGCACTAAAAAGTAAAATATTTATGTTGCAACTTAATTTGGCCTTAAAAAATATACATTAAAAAAACTTGACTCTGTGTTGGAATCCTGTTAGCAAAAAGCATGTGACATGCAGGTGTTATTGTTTGTTTGCTTTAAAGAATTGAAATTTCTATTAAATTAAGTTAATCCTTATGTGCTTTTATGCATGCTATTTGATATCAATAAAATTTCTATACACGGACTTGAAATAATTTTTATTCTTTCCTGATTTTTTTCCTGCAATTATGAAATCTAATTTACATCTAAAAATATATTTATCAAAATTTTCATATGATAGTTCAGTTCAAATAAATAAAGTACGAGATGTATATGTGTAGCAGTTCTGATATTTGCAGAGGCCAATATTAAGGAAATAAAATTTGCAGTCACAAGTAATACTGCATTAATTTAATAGGAATTTGGAGTGCCTAAATCTTCTTCTAAATACTGGTGCAGACTTCAACAAAAAGGACAGATTTGGGAGGTAAGATGTTCTAGATTTGTGTATTTTGTAAAAGGCTGTTAAAAGTATTACATATTGCTTTGTGGGCAAGTCTGTGTGCTCCAGTTTAAATGGTTTTTAAGATACAGCATCTCTAATAAACTATGCTTCAGCATATGTTATCAAAAGTTACAAACCTCTTTTATTGTGTTTTGCTAAGTAGGTGTTTACTCTTGTTTTTAAAGATTGAGTTCCATATTTAGCTGTAATGTTTATGAGTCTTTTTTGCTTACGACATGGATCTAATGAGTAAATTGATCTCTCCAAGGACATTAGTGATGTTTTCCAAATAATGGATTAGTCAAACCTATAAATCTGTTGCTAAGATTTTATTTTAAAATTCGTTATTTTATTCTAAGTGCTTTATCTTTTTTCTTTCATTAGATCCATCTCTTTCTATTTCCTTGTTCATGCTCTGAACTCTTTCGGAATGACATTATTTTTTATTTTTAGTATGGGATTATTTAAGTTTAGATGGCATGATTAGTACTTGTGTAAAATCTCACATCACATCATGGAAAGTATAGTTTTCCAGGATGTGAATGGCGGGAGTAGGACTTGAGAATGTTATAGATACAAAGCTCTGTTCTTTCCTGAGAAAGGAACAACTATCTGTCACAACTTTTGTTATTGAAAGTTGGCTTTTTGTTAGTTTGGTTTGGGTTTTGGTTTAATGTGCATGTTATATAGAGCAATTATTTCAGGAGAGGGAGGAGATTAAAATCGTTAAAAATGGAGAGAAATGGGAAAAAGTAATTTTAAGGGAGAGGGAAGTGGTAGGACACTTTGAACTGCCTGACTGTCTCCTCAAAATTGAGATATTTATAGTAGCAATCTCTTTTTAAAAATAGAAAATGGAATTCTGAGTCATCTTGGTGCTTTTGAAATTTTATCTGAAGTGGTTTATTTAGAGAATTGTTTATGTATTTGAAGCTGGAATAAGTTTCCTCTGAGATTATACATCAGTACTAATATTTCACAGTTTCGTTATAAGAAGGCAAGGTATATTTTTAAAAGTTTTCTTTAACAATACCTCTGCTATGTTAGTATGGTTAAAAATAAACAATGCTTGCCTCTCAGGCAAAATTCTTATCTGTTTGTCAAAAACATCTACTTGTTAATTGTATTTTATTTTGACCTTGTTTAGTTCCTGTGCAGTTCTTATATTTGTCCATATTTTTCCATGTGGCTTGAAATTACTTGACTAAAGATAATATTTCTGACTACACAAGAAAATTCATGTAAAGCTTCCATTTACAAAAAAGTTTGTGCATATTTTGGCTGGCAAATAGATCCCCTAGATATTGTTCTGCATTATTAAATGGCCCCTAGAAAATGGCCCTATTTTATTGTAGTGATGCGTTGTTCACCACAAATATTTGTTAAAAAATGTAATGATGATTTAAGTTTCATTTTATTTTGCTTTTTTTGTCTCTATAATATTATTTTGCTGTTATTTACCATTGTACTTTTTATTTAAATGTGTACTAAAGAACTCCACTCCATTATGCTGCTGCCAATTGTAATTATCAGTGCCTGTTTGCCCTTGTGGGATCTGGAGCTAGTGTGAATGACCTTGATGAGAGGGGTTGTACACCTCTGCACTATGCAGCTGCATCAGACACAGATGGAAAGTAAGTGGCATGCTTTGTACTAAAGCCTTTCTCCTTAGAAACATTTGAGCTGTGAATTTTGTGTATGTTCTGCCTTCAGATTTGCCAAATGCATTTTTGATATTTTTAAAGATTAAATTTGACAGTGGATTGTTCATTGTATATAAAATATTTTATGTAACAAATATTTCCAAGAAAAATGAACAGTAGTAAAATGTGATGCAATTTTTTGGTTATGTCCTATAATGCAGATGTCCTAATTCAGGAATTCATTTGGAATAGTATCCCACTTGCTGTGTAGTGGTTGAGTAAATATCATTTGTGGGAGTTATTATGATAGTTGTGAGCAGTAAGGTCATTTTGCTTTAAAATCAAATTCTGATGAAGGATGGTGTGTTTTATGGAGGGTTCTTATTGTTGCCCAGAAATCTGTGTAGTTAGTCAGAAAACCACTGTAAAACTAGACTGTGAGCTACAATAGGCCTATGTCAGGATAGAAGTTAACTCGACATTTCAATGTAAGATGCTTTACCATTTGGTGATTGATTATACTGTTCATGGTTTGCATTACAACGCTGTCTCTTGTTAGTGTAAATTTCTGTGAGGTAGTGACACTTTTATTAATGAAATGCATCCAGAAACTTTCATAAATCCGAGAATGTCTCTTGTCTGCATTTATTTTGTAACTAATGGTGATATTTATCATAGTTATTAATGACTTAAAAGCTTACATGCAAAGGTCGTATAGATAGCACAGAACTGATGGGGGTACTTAAGCTCCAGACATTGTATATGTTGAGGAGACTGGATGAGAGTACCACTTGGATGCGCACACACTCACATACACAGGTCAAAACAAGCTGGTGTGCAGCATCGCACTTTGAACGCATACAGTGACACGCTCACTGGAAAAGAGGGCTGCTTCCTGCCGTATCATCTCGGTTTAATGCAGCACCTTTTAAAAGGTGAGGTAGCAATAGGAACGTGGTGGCATATAGCTTACAGATTGGGTTTTGAAGGATAAATAAAGAATACTTTCATGGCCATTTAACTAATATTTAAAGTACATGACTTTTTTATGTAAAGCCAAATTTCAAAAGGAAATTTGCTTTTTAGATATACTC